CAACCATAAACCTTTGGTGTGAAATTTCGTGTCATAGGCACTTTAATTAAAGCTATAAACCACCATTAATATTCTACATGCTTCGCGATATTTTTAACACTTTTTCCGCGAAATTTTCCGCGACCGCCACCATGAGACTCTTTCACGCTCATTTTTTCCCATGTTTATTTTATTTTTCTAAACTATTCTCATAACTAAAGACAGCCAGATGCTTTATAATTTACACATTATTCAATGAAAGTCACATATATATCCTTCATTTAAATTTGTAAAATATAGCCGGAAAGTCACGCATCGTTATGGTTTAAAAACCCTGCGTATACAGAAACCACCAACTTTGACCAATTTTTGCGCTGTTCGTTTCGCAGTATACGTTATTTTTCAATGTTCGGATACCAGTCTGGTATTACTAACAGTAAAAATGCATCCGGCTTACTAAATTCGGGCCTGTATCTCTCGTAAAACTATTTAACAAAAGCATTTCTAAGTTTGTATTTTATGTACAAGATTCAACTTCGTCCGTTGCTGCTATATGATGGAGCACTTTGACTTCTCTGCCCACGGATTCTCTTTCTTGTCTACGGGCGTGATCAGAGGGTCGGAATTGATATTCTTTTGACAGTAATCTTTCAAACTAAACAAAAATATTGACATTAATGGGGATATAAGTAGTGTACAGTGTTTAATATGGAAATAGCATGGTCCTCGTTCGAAATAGTGTGGAAACCCAATTTAATTGCAGTTTCCATAGACCATACTATTCAGGTGATCCCGTGTTCGTATTTTAGCCAATCAGCGCTCAGAAAGGGTTGTCCAAATAGAAATCCATTTTGATGTATTCAGTCAATTATATCTTTCGTTATTCTTTATGAAACTAGTTGAAATTTTGTAATTATGTTTGGTTATGAGAACTATAGCTCTGACAAAAATATGGAATCGAAATAAAGTATATTACAGGAGATATTCAGTTGTTTTAATCATAAAATGGATTTCTATTTGACAACTAGTGCCAGCACTTTTCCGCGTGTCAAGATCATCTGGATATGGATGTAGTATGGATTGGATTTAGTGGTGCAATTGCAAATTTCATAGTGATGGATTTTAGGCTGATGCGATATTAAAAAACGTAAATACGTAGTTTAATCAACTTGCGTGTGTACCGCATCACAA